TATATATATTTAATTTTCGTAAATGTATTTTATATTGTTTTTATCATTTGAAAAGAAAGAAAAATGGAAAAACATATCAGATATTTGTTAACACTTAGAAAAATTGATAATTTTATAAAAAATTTAAGATATTCATTGCTTTTTATTTATTGCACTCTAATATATTAGATTGGTTTTTCCCAAAAGTTGTGTATCCGATAAGCTAGATTACAGAGGTAAAACTGGAATTGTAACAAAATTAAATTTACCATTCACACAAATCAATGATAAGCTGAAAATCGTTACCTATTATACTTTTCTTATCTGAAAATAACTAAAGAATAAAAAAAACAAGATAATGGCAAAAAATGTTATTCTTATCGGTATTAAATTCATTTTTCTTTCTAAAAAATCTCTAATTTCTAAAAGATTACGACTATTTCTCTTCCTCTTAATAGGTAAGATATAACTAAAGTTTAACATTTGTATAAATGAGTTATAAAATAACAACAACATTTAAAATTTAATTTATGTTTAAAGCATAAAGAAAGTAAAAGATTAAAAATAAATAAAATTATATGGAAGTAGTTAACGAAGGACGAACAGACAGACGAACGATAGTGAAATGTATAGGCCTTTAATTTATAAATTTATCTTATTTTTACATTAATAATTTATAAATAAATCCAATAATCTGTTATAAAATGTTTAAAATATTGTTTTTTTTTTTATAGTTCTCCCAGTGTTAAGTGAAGGAGTGATGTTTAATGTTCTAATATTTATTATTATATTCCTTTGTGTACTATAAACATACCTGTAATTGGGACTTCCTAAGAATCTATTTAGTAAATAAAATAAAAAATAAATAAATAAATAATTTATTTTTGAAATTTTATTGAATGCTAGGTTTAATGTTACGCTAATAATGTTTCAAGTATCTCGAATGGAAACAATTTTAGAGACAGGTAAAACTGCGAATTCACGAATGATTGATGAAAAGATATTTTTCACTTTATAAAGCAAAGAAAACCCACTAAACTATTTCGGGTGCTTTCTATATTCCTTTAGGAGAAAGTCGTGAACTTATCTATCGATTGAGATCTAAAAACCTATAGGTTGATAGAATATTTCTTTATAGAAAAACATAAAATGTATTTCGGTGACAGATTTGAAATTTTTTATTTATTTATTTATTTTTTCCTTATACTATACAGAAAATTCTTGTAAAATATTTACTGTTATACTTCACATCGTAAGGGATAATCGGAATCTTTGAATATCTTTTTGAGATTTGCTTGGCTAAGTTTTGTATAACAATGTTTGTATGGAAAGAACGGTATTATAAATAGAATAATATTATGATTCTTATAAAATTAATAATAAAATATTTAAAATTTTGTATATTTTTTTTTGTTTTTTTTAGATAGAGAAAATCTTTTATAAGATATAATATATAAACTCTTAATTCATATATTATTATTATTGATTGTTTTCTCAATTGAAA